AATCGGCTTATCTTGAAGCCATGAAATGCCGTCAGAGTTGATCTAGACGGAAACGGCAAGGTGTTGAATCCTGGCGGCAAAATTGCCCCATATTCGCTGACATTAATGCTAGTCATATCCCATAAGTGCCCATCGTAATTTACATGCCTCTAAAGTGATCAAGAACGGACTGAAAGCCATCAACAATTCTGTCAACAGCCAAGAGACGGTTCTTGTATCTCTTTGTCGTTTCGACTCGTATTCAGGATGTGCCATTTATTTTAAAGGATTCATTTAATTGATTATTGTAGGTGTCTTTTTTTAATTGGTGGGTCGGGGTGTTACTTATTCGAATTTCTATGTGAAAGAAAGTTCCATGAATGTTGAGGGTGCGGTGCAAGTCAGGCATTGAATCTTTTAGGGCTCTTTCTTTATCGCCATTTTATTTGCCACCCGCCCTCTCCCTTCTTTATATTTCTGGGGCATTGTGCACTGGTACCTGGTTCTTTTACCATGTTCGTATTGCCGTCTCGATGGTTCTTGCTCTCCACGTACAGACCGGAAAAGACAAACGACAGGAGGCCTGCAATATATGGAGGCATCTGTCATGGGAGGCTCAATATCTGCGATAGAATAGCAGTGGCTACTGGTATTACCAGATGGTCAGGAATAGACAGGCCACTCAGAGCCGCCTCGCTAATGCTATAAAACCGCCCAGAACCACAGTACAGGAGCTGACGCTAATTGTGAGAAAGAAATTTTGTTACAATCCAGAAAAACAAGATTATTCTACCGACTAGAAGCATATATCCCAATTTGGAATTCGTGAATATGCCTGCTTGGTTGGGCTTGGAGCGAGAGAATGGAGCCTGGAATCTGACAGACCATAACACCATGCGGCAGATCATTAACGAGATAGACGACCCTACTAGCCAATATCCTTCAATTCAGTTATTTTTAGGGCAGAACACCAAGATGCAGGCGCTCCGGTCACTCTTTCCGTGCAATAATATTGGCCGGCATCAGAAAGATGGTTTTGCCCGAATGCATCTCTCCGGTGGGGCCTCATCCTATCCGATCTTCTTCGTTGAATGCAGTCGTGTCCAAGAGACCGATCCCTCGCAGCCCCTGAAGGTATCAACCTACCGGCATCATCTCCCAAACACTAGGAGACACTCATGTCAGGACGTTCAAGCGCTGCTATACCGATGCCTCCTCCTCCCACTAGTGGACACTGTGTGTCTTTTCGCAGCCGATTTTGGGAGCATCAGGCGGGTACAAAGCCTTTTGGGCTTGTGGTCTCAAACCTCAATGGTAGACATTGATGGCCAAGGACACCATCTTCGCCCACGCTTGGTGGTAGTATTGACCGAAGAGGGAGACAAGGAATCCGAGGTCAATGCGACAGTAACTGAGCTGTGGGCTACGGCTGTTCCCAATCTAGTTGCTTCTGTATCTATAGTAGATCTGCGGAATAGAAGTCACTTGTCTTCGCTCAGCCGTTTCGAACCTCTCCGGCGACATCTTTCTCTTGAGCTAGACGAGGCGCGTGCCGCACGGACTAAGGCACATCTGCTCTTCTCTGCTACCCACATGGAGTGGATATTTAGGAAACTGCTTCGTCACATCGCGGAATCTCCATCTTTACCATTTGAGTTGATGAAAGCTTGTCGCCCGAGGCGTTCTGGTGGTGACGAGATCGCCCGATATCTCAAGATTTTTTTGGACATCGCTGAACAAGGGTCCATCCCCCCAACTCTCATGGCCACTTTTATAGCCTCGGCCTATCTCATGGATGCATACCCACCCAAAATGCACGGTAAGTGGTACTAGTCCGAATGCGAGCCAGCACTACTATCGCTGCCGCGGTAAGGTGTATTGACTGTTTGCTTCAGGGTTCGATCCAGCCAAGACGTTTCGGTACCTTTATGGAGATGTTTGTGAGGCTGCATGTACTACATCTCCGTACACTAGCCCGCACGGCCTCCACAACCATATCGAACGCGAGTTTGTTTCTTTGTTTTCTACCATCTCCATGGCTGGCGGCCGGTCCGCGCAGGTGCGGCGAAAGGTCTTCTGGCACCAGAAATCAGCTTGGTCTGCAGTCAAAACCAACCGCATCTGTTTGTTCTGTCTACGGTGTTCTCCAGAACATGTCTTGCCCTGTGGTCATTCTATCTGCGACGTCTGCCCATGTATTTTCGGTAGTCGGGGCGAGGGAGCAGAATATCACATTCAGCTGACATCCTGCCCGGCCTGTTTAGAGTGCTTTACCTTTACCATCCGCTTGCTCCCTCCGACAAAAGGGCCAACTATTCTAGCTTTAGATGGTGGCGGTGTCCGCGGCGTTGTCACACTCGGATTTTTGAAAGCCCTTGAAGACCAGATCAGTTGTAAGAGGGGACTGCGTGAAGCATTTGACCTGACGATGGGAACTAGTGCCGGTAGGTTAATCATTATATTCATTTGCGTGTTTCTATGTTACGTAGATTTGTTTATCATTGTTCTTTATCGTGCTATGTCTCTTTTTCAAGTACAGACTCTTAAATTATTGACTGGATCGGACTGGATACTGCACTCCTGCAGGCGCCGTCATCGCATCTGAATTGATGGTCCGTGAAACGTGTGTCAGCGAAGCACACACTAAGTTCGAAGCCCTAGCGCAGCAAATATTTCCCTTACGGCCCCGTCGACAAACGGTTTTGGGACAATCATGGGACTGGCTAATGACCTGGGCGACTGATAGCCGACACAACTCGGGCGTCTTGGATCGAACCTTACAAGAAGCCTTTGGACGCCATCATAAGCTGTTCGACACCCCTATATCCCTATTGTCCGGCGTCCGGGTGGCCTTAACAGCTAGCCAAGTTGAAGACGGTTCCCTAAGTTTGTTCACCAACTACCGATCAGCTGGTCGTTCCGGCATCTCATCCTCCTACAAAGTAATAGCTCCGGGGGAAGAGCCTCTTCTATGGGAAATGTAAGTGAGAATTCTCTTACGTCTATCTTAAGCTACGGTGAGAGAAACGATATATAGAATTCCTGAGCGACGGCCAAGGGGAAGAGATATGAAGGCACGAGATAAAAGTGGTAATAAACTGTAAAGGAGAATGCTGGACACACGCAGGGAAAGGGATTGCTTGGCTTGCTACTCTGGGAGATCTCTCCCAACTTGGTTAACTTCATTATTACAGTGCACGTTGCAGTGTAGCTGCTTTAGGGTAAGTACCTGGATAAAGTGCATCACCCCAAACACCAACTGCAGAGCGTTGATCTCTGTAGATATTTCACGCCAAAGCACCTCCCGGGAATTGGCATCTTCCAGGACGGCGGGGTCCGGGCAAATTGCCCTCTTCGTGCCGCCCTCCGCGAGTGCGAAATCATCTGGCCATGGGCCAAGAGACCCGACCTTGTTGTAAGCATCGGTACCGGATATACACCGGAAACATCAACCTCTCTACCTGATAAACCGGGTTATTTGATGCACGACCGCTTTATCAAGCGTGCCGTTCGTGCCTTTATGTCCTCGCCAGCAGTTGACAGTCAACGAGGCTGGCAGGACGCCTGGGACAGCATCCACGAGACTTTTAGGCCGGATACGTTCCGCCTCGACCGGCCGATAGCAGGACAGTTACCGGAGCTAGATGACGCACGTGCGCTTGGTAAATTAGGTGAGTTTGACTACCGAATCCCCCAGGAGCTTATCCGGGTATGGCTTGTCAAGTCATTGTTTTTCGAACTCGATGAAGAGCCAATCATGGCTCACGGGCACTACGAATGCCATGGCTCTATTCTATGTTGTAAATATGATGCAACAAACATCATCCAGCAGATAATGTCCCAGTTTCCTGGTTCTCACGTCCAGTTCTCCGACGGCACCGATATTGGGTCACTTGACGACCATCAGGGTTGCGCAAAATGTGGTTATTATCGAAAGCGTGTCTTCCTCCGGGTATCCAATATTCATGAAACCGTACAGTTGAGAGTCGGGGGCGTCACTGGGTCCAGCGCCCTTGGCGGATTCCCAACCTCCATTTACAATCTTTTAGACCAACAACTGGCTGATTTCCCCTTTGGGCGAGCGGACCATCGCAATGATCTTTGGCCTCCGTTGCGTCAGTGCTACTGCACAGGTCGCAAACGACCTCGCAATCTCATGCAGACAGACCGAGCGTACAAGAGACGTCGACAATAAAATAGAAACCAGGAACTAATGTCAATTTAGCAAGGCAGGGAAAGCTGGAGATACGGCAGCTAGTGGTTACTAAAGGGAGCGAGTAGGTTGCAGAGAAAGAGCAGATAAAAGCACGAAAACTGTAAATTTAGTCACGGGAAAACGAAGAGGACGTCTTATATTAGGAAAAAGTAAATAGTATTAAAGGCTATCTACTGGGTAGCTAAAGTGGCAGTTACCATGGTGTCGCCGGCTAAACGAATCGATTATATTTATCTTCGGATTGGCGCACTATAGTAGGTGTTGTATCTAGATTTAGAAAAGAATTTTGCTTAGCACCTGAGCACGTGAACAGCCAAAATATTGCCTCTTAGTTGAGAGGTGCATTGGTCTGTGCAAAGCTCAAAAATATATCGGCAATTTATGTGCTTGATATTGAGTGTTATATTATTTGGGACCAATTCCTCATCTCTATAGATTGATACCAATCTGGCTGAATATCCGAGTTAGCCATATCATTGGCCATCGAAATAAGTTATCTGTTACTAATTGGCGCTTCTTACAGTACACCTCGAATCATACTCCTGTAAAATAGACTTCAAATTTTCTCATACATTGCGAGCATCGGGTAGTTCTATAATACTCTATTCCGTCAGAATAGCTTGTGCCCAAAGCTTTATACAGGTCGTTGCGCATACAATAGAAAAGTTCTCAGAAAAGGCAAAAGACTGCAGATCGGCTCTATATGCATGAAAAGCATCCCGTGTACCTATCACAATGAGTCAACCGCCGGCCGCAGTGACATGTCCGGATGAAATATAGCGTCAAACGTGGGTTTCAATGTCTAGATCCTGTACAAATGACCCGCCGTTTCTCGGCTTTTATTCTAAAGTGGACTTTTCTGGCACGCAATAGAATACATGGATCATTGTGGGGTGGCTTCAGGGAATTTATAATATCCTACCCAATCTGCGGATACACTCGGCCGCAAAACCAGTGGCACCCCCAAATAGAGTTTCTTTTGTTCTAATCCTGCACAAAGAGGGTAAAGCGCTTGACATATGGCTCGGCAAATATACCTAATTGGTTTAAGCCTTATAATATAACCATTTACAGTTCAGTCTCTACTCGATAAAATAAAGATAAAAGTCTGGAGGGTGGCACTAGTTTTGACTTCGTGTGTACGTTCTCAGTTGAGCGTTTGGTCCTTCCATACAACTCTCCCTGCTGGGCCCTATCACAAATATCACAGATTTGTGTGACAATAGTCTCTATTTCTCAAGTAGGCTCGGTCGTGGATGTTGAATGGTCGTCAGACGTTTCGGAACGGCCCTCGGTCGCACGGCTAGCGACTGGAAGTGGAAGTGTCTCTTCTGCCATTCTTATCCGGAGCGCCTCTTGCAGTTGAGCATTTTCCTGTCGTAGGTTATCACGGTCGATTCTAAGAGTAAGAAGATCAAACCGTGCGAGGGCTAAGTCGAGGGCAAATTCCATGGTCTGACGCTCTCGGTGCGACGCTCCCTGCTGGTGCTCGTACGTGCATAGCAACAACCACAGTTTCTCCACCAAGGCGAAGAGAACATCTCTGATTTCTTTAACTGCGGAAAGCTCTGATGTGGCAGAGGACAATGCGCTCTTTGCGTCAGACAGTTCTTTGCTGTTCTTCTGGATAAGATGAGCGATCGTGGTGCATTTCGCCGGTAGATCGGCCAAAAATGTCATCATTGTCTATTTCAGTGATTAGTCGTCATCCTGAGAACAGTATCACATGATCACTAATACCGCATCCATGTCTGCAACCCAGATTCATATGTAACAGTAATGCACAAGACCCGATGATTTTACTAGCTTTGGTGGTTTGAGAGGCAGCACCTTGGTGAGACGAAACTCAAGTAGGAGCAAGGGACGATCGCGACCGGTAGGAGGTAGAGCACAGTGTGAAATTTTGGGTGCGACAGCAGAGCTATGCGTCCTTTTTGAGTTGCAATGAATGCTATGGCACCGAATGCAATACCATCAATGGCATGGAATCTTCCTGACTGTACATTGACCGATCATTCCTAAGCGGAAACAGTAAATTGAGGGCTAGCCATCGCATTCCAAGCATAGCCGCTGAACACCCCTGCTGGGACGGCAAGTGTCTGGAAGAGACCTTATGTATTATTTTAGCATATCCTTGGTCGCCTATTCTGAATCCCTCCCTTTTCAATCCCTGGGGTGTTTGATTCTACTTATCCTCTCTCCTTGTTACGTTAGCTTCGCAGATACAAGGAATGGCTGTCTTCGCTTCCGGGTGTCTCACTAACCTTGATGTGCGTAGGCTTGTTCGTGTAGAAAACCAATTATTTTTGCTATTGTATTCCCAATCTTGTAGTCCGCGTTACTGTATGCTCGGCAAAGTCCATTATTTAGAGATACCCATGTCTGAACAAACGTCTGTCGTCACAAGAATTAATGCATGGGGAAGAAAGAATTGTGTTGGGTCGTTCTTATCTTGAATGGTCTACCTTACCAAAAAATATAAGAAGCAGCAGTTAAATGGATACGAAAGACTTTGGTGCGTCGCTTGGATGGTTCAGATTCAGGTAGGCTCCATTCAAGATTAGAATTCAATATTTAGAATAAGCTTACGAGTAGATTTCTCAGAGTTATAAAATTGCCTCGCCTAATACTTGTTCGGCGAAAAAAACAACCGTTGTCCGCAGATGGAAATTTCGTTATACCAGCACATGCAGTTCCATTTCTGTTTTGTCCCTTCTGAAGCATATACACAGTGCTTCACGGTTATCCAAAGTGGCTATTCTGCTCATGGTATGAGCATCTGTTCTGTCATTAACAAATTCTCTGGTGTTTGGATACCAGTGTTGCACCTCCCTCGGGATACTCATTTGGTTTTGGGCATACTGTATACCAACTGTTCCCACATGTTCACCATTGCCATTCCTTTCTCCTGCTCAACTCTTCCGTCAGTGGGTTTTATTGTAAAGTCTTTTCTGTTTCGAATATCCGGTGTCCTCTACAATGATGCGAAACCGCGCTTGCCTACCAGGCGTCGATCGAGAATGCTCTACATTCACCCTTAAGAATTCCATTAAGAAGCCTATTGTAGGAATTCTATATTTTGGTGGGCTTTTCAAGCTATAAGTGGCCTTTTACCTAAGCAGTCTATATGTTCGGCGCTCTGAATAGAATGTGTGAACTCCACAGTACAGAATCGATGTGGGCCTGTCATACATGTTAATTGTCGCGGCTCTGCACATGCCACACCATATTAAATGAACTATTTTGGTCAATGGAGGACAACATCCTTACACGCCAGTGCTTTCAGTTAAATAAAAACCTTGAAGATGGCGAGGAAGCTCATATGGCCGCCGAACAGACCCTTATCCGCCTGGGAAAACAGATATTCTCGATATAAGATATTAAAAATTACTACAAAAACGTCCTTCTCCAACGCTATTTACGTTTAGCAATATAAGTGTACAGTATACAGCAGGACGACTGGGAACATACTGTTAATCAAAGCTTGACCAGTTCCTCTTTCCACGGTACATAACTTCATGTATTATCTATAAGGGCATGATTGAAACACCGTTCAGAAATGCATACAACAAGAATATATAAACTAAATATGACACGAGCTCCAATCACAGAGTACGCAATTCCTGACTCAGTGTTAGAATTTAGAATTCACTGCTGTTTCCAGAAGGCCTCTTCGCGTGACTTGGCCTGAAGGTTGAGTGATGTTGCAGACCCGCAATCGCACCCGTACACCCTAGTGGCTTCAAGATGGGTAGCCTTTGCGTGTTAAGGAGAGAAGGACATTTGATGGAGCATTGAAGGGATGATATATTCTCCAATGATAGTGTATGCAATTGTAAATGAAGTATATCGTTCACCAAGGAAGCAAAACCTGATAGTTCAGTATTTGCTTGGTTAGAAAAGCCAAGTCGTAGGGTTACTAGGCCCTTCGAATTTTGCTTGAGGCATCTCTTCAGTATATGAATCTGCCTTATGTCATGGATGCCATTCCAACTCAGAGATTTCAAACACCTTAATCGTAAGAGCCCACTGAAATTCTGCTCATATGACATGGCGTATTTTCCGAGCTCTCTGGGTTCAATGGGTGGGTCCTTTGGTGGGGTGTCAAGCACTATAGAATTCAACTGTGGTTGGAATACCGGAATATAACCATTGTATCCCAGTACCTCCCCTGGGAGCCAGAGAAATTCCCAACTATTAAGTAAGCAACTTATAAGCTCTTTCAAGGTACAGGTCTGACGTACGCAAAAGTAACAAGTTTTCGTGATGTTAGTCCTTCTAAAATGAGCTTCACAGCCTGACCAAAACTCTTTGGAAAGATTCTGCTCATGTGGCGAGAAAGATTTGACTTTTTACAGCAGCTTTGTGGCTTTCGTAGCTCTGAGGGTTGATAAGATCTCGTATCTTGGGCAACGAATCGAATTTTGCGGACTTGTCTTAAACAGAGAGCGCCACCATTGTCTTCGCCATGACGCTCAAAGAATGTTTTTATTCCGGAAAGAATATCAGTAGTAATGATTGGGATTTCTAAGCGGTTAAACAAAAAAGGTGCTGTTTCCTCATAGAGCTTTTTTGAAACCATCAAAAGCGCCTGCGCATCCTTTTGAGTGAGCTGCAAAGCAGTTTAGCAGAGTTCCAGAAAGCGTTCTAAACTAAAGGAGTAGTTACGTACCAAGGTACAAACCGTTGATAAGGCATCTGGAGGCAGGCTCTCTAGCATTCTGATTGTTAAGTCGAGTATATTGCCATAAAAGAGTGATCTCGCATAGTACATATTATAGATGAGATACGTCCGTTTACAGCACCATCCTGTTGCCTTTTATAGAGCGATATAAACTTCTTTGCCAGCGCCTCATCTACCTATTCGGGTAAAAGGTAGAACATCCATTCCTCTCTCATTGACTAAGAGCACAGGAGCGCATTCGCTAAACATCGTATGCTTATGTGGTCGATAGATCGACGGAGATGCTACTGATTCAACAGGCAGGTTTGAGCAAGCAGCGAAACAACACGAAAAGAGGCAGTGGCTAGAAGACGAGCAGTGGGGACAAAGACAGATTCAGCGTATCTACGAGCAAATTTTCAAACATTCGTCCAAAATTGTTTCGAACATATCTGGCGACCGTTGAAAATGGCTGAGGATTCTTCTGATTAACTCATCATTAAGTCAGCGATTCCGCAGTGTTACTGTAGTATCTCGTAAGATTTATCAGTTGCTAGTAAAGACTGAATACAGTATCCTCCCCTATGGCTTGGACTGATCATTTGATCTGACTACTTCGGTGTATTCACTTGGATTTAATATAAGCCCTGTACCAACAACCGGACTCGAATGGTGCTCTTAGTTGCCTCTATCTCGGTGACTCAGAGTGGTGCTAGTCCAGAATAAGTAATGTGCTTTCCTGCATATCTACCAATCTTTGGCGACATTCATGGGTTGTCCCGATCAAAGCGATCACCGTCCCGTCCTGCTCAACCTTCTACAGGGAGTAACATTTTCACCGTTGATTAGAGAGATATTTTTTGGACGGTGAACACGCCATTTTATATGCGATACGCATAGCTATCGCTCTCGGAGCTTCTGGCGAAGGAATTAACTCTGGACAGCAAACGAAGCTTTGACTCCGTTCCTGGCGAGGACGGTCTTTTTATTTATTCTTCAATAACCTAAGCACAATGGAACACATTGATGTATGTACCAACAACCCACTTGGCTGCGTGAAAAAATAGGAAGGACTGTGCAACATTGTGGAGACTTAGAACAAGCGCGGTGTTTGTTAATGAACTGTTGGACCGCTTCTCCTGATTCACATGGTAGATAGCTCTCGCAGCTACGCTGTATCTTTAGGATTTCAAGCATCTTTCTCATCTTGATCGCACCGCGATCCTGACATGAACCTATTAAGTATATTGAGCTGTATCATTAGGGCCGATCACTTCATTGTTTGGCGTCTGTTGGGCCTTTGTATGTCGGGCTGGCAACCGTTGAACAGGTTATTGATCAATTGTGCGGATTAATCCCGACCGAATACTTTTCTACTGATACTGCGGACCAAGTTTCTACAAGACTAGATACAGTACTGAGAACGGTTATTAAACCCTCTCATTATCTTGACCGGAGTAATATTTTCTTCTTCTTCCTTCCTATACCGTTGTTATATACCGTTGTTATACCTGGTCCTGTCACGCTAGAGTTCATTTCATTTCGAAGATGACGACTAAACGTGGTTTCCCAAGAGAACCGAAGGAGTCGGTTACTTGTCGCGAAATTCTTGTTTATGTCCTTGGAAAGGATAGTGCGAGAGGTTATCAGCTTCTATGCGAGCGAACCAAAGGATGCTTATTAATTGGCGGGCAGCCAATTTGTGACATAATGTCAGTTGTTCCACGGCCTAGTGTGTTATTTCTGCTTCTTACATTTACAGCACCTGTGGAAAATTCTCCGAGAAAAATATCGATGCCCTGGGTGTGCACATCCAGCAAAACCGCCCCGCTCTGTCAACCTTACTAAGCTTAATTTCTTAGTTACCTGGATAACGGGCAAAAACTTGCGGCCCGAATAAGATTGGACAGAGATAACGACTTTGATTTCAACGATTTTGTTGAGGGCGCAAAGGATGCCTTGGCAATGGACCAGAACGAAGCTGTTCGTGATGATTGTATGTGGGCTTCGATGGAGTGGAAGTGGCAAGGACACACATTTCATGGCCTCAAAAAATCTAGAGCCATTCGTCCCCCTATGGTGTCACACATTGTGCGTGCGGTTCTCGAGAGAAGACGACCTGGAGGAAGTGAGTAGCAAAAGCATATACTATACAGTACCAATACAATTAGAGAAGAGAGTATTTCTGATTTGGTTTGTCAACGTGTTGCACGAATACTAATTTTCCTGAATTACGAGTTGATCTGCAAAAGCCTTGAAAAATGCTGTATGCAGCCTTGACGACATGGAGAAAGACAATCTGCCTATGCAATGGACTGCATTAGCCGGCCTCCTCGAATAACCCCTCCGGGGACAACCACAAATCTGAGCCCGACGCCATTCACGATTGTTTCCGACAAGGGAAGTAGTTACAGATTTTCCGAAAAATGCCTTCACCATCTGCTCTCTTTCATTCTTTTCCAAGCCCTAATGTCAAGTCGGGATACCCCATATCTTGGCGGTAATTTCAAAATCAATTGGACAATATACCCGGGAAGTAGCTATATACCGTATAGTGTACCTTGGCAGAAGGGGTTAGGAAAGAAGGCGACAGAGTGGGTGGTGAAGGCGTTTTCCGGAAAGTCTGTAACTGTAAGAAATACAAGATATTGCATTTTTCCACGACCTTGTAAGATAATTGACTCAAAAATGAATGGCTCAGTCTAGCCTTAGCACCCTGGGAAACAAGATAATTGTGTACCTCGTCTATTTTATCTCCGGTGCCTGCATGGACCACCCAGCCAAGAGGAGTTCCCCACTCTTTATCTTCAGTATTGACCTTTGCACCACACTTGATCAGCTGTTTCACAGCATCGAGTTGACCATATTCAGCTGCCCAGGATAATGGAGTTCGGCCATGGAAGTCCGGCTTATCGACCTCTGCGCCAAATTTGATAAGTAGTTCGATAATCCGCGTACGACCATTTATAGCAGCAAACGATAATAAAGGTCTTCCCTGGTATACTTTATTTCCGTCACGGAGGTTAGGATTGATTCCACTATCGAGATATCCTTGAACAACACGAGTTATGCCGTCTTCAAGTGCAGATTGCAAATCCTCGGGCAGACTTGGCTTACTAAACATCCTTCGAGGTTTGGACTTATTGAGAAATGAATATAAAGCACAAGTACAGTAACAAGTTTATAGCTAATGGTCGGGGCTTGTTTTCAAAAGCTTGAAAGTATTGCGGTTTATCCCTAAGAAATCCGCCAAATACATAGATCATCTATAGCTCAGGAAAAGTAATCTATCAGCGTCGGTTGATTATGTATATTTTCCTGCTTTGCCCAACCGATATATACAAGGGCCTTTAATACTGCATGTGCTCACATTAAGTTAAAGCCCCCCCTCGGGATTGTGATGTAGTCGGAAGGCAGTCGGCAGCTGAAATCAGCATATGCTTATAGTTTCGTACTTTTCAAGGATATGATAAAGCGAGAGAACTCCCAGCCTAACCAAATAAGCACTAGTCTGCTTTGGAATGAGTTTAAAAGCGCCCAAGGTTCTCTTGATTGACGGATTGATTCAGCTACTGACTGGTTTAGGAGACTATCACACTCATATGGGCAGACCGGTATATCTAGCTATAATGGCTTTCAACCTCGGTGACTAGAACATACAGCGGCAATCCAACCTTTGCAACCCAGTATGAATTCTTCTGGAAGAAAAAAGAAGCGCATCGATTGCAGGATCGGACTATCGTGTCTTGTACATCGACCAATAGGGATCTAATTTTGCTACAGCAAGTGTTACTAGCCTCCGGACTATTATATCCTGTACGCTTCCTAAGACATTTACTGACACCACCAGTCAGTGACTCGTACAAAACAACGGATATTAACTCTATACAGGCACTTGCTAAGACGTGAAGATAGAGAACATTTCAGCCAACGCATGCAGACGTGCGAAAATACACTATTCTATCTCAAAATAAAATTCTGGAAATTTTTGTTGAAACTTGGTTTGACAGACCGAGGCTGGCAGATCCCCCTCAATCGAAAACTCTTTCGGGAAAAAAAAAGTATGAGCACCTACTCAACAAGCTCAACTCAGGTGAAACCTGAGAATCAGGACAAATCTAACTTGTCACAACAGCCTACAATGAGCAACGATTCCAAAAAATTAATAGCCAGTATTCATTCTCGAACTGAATCAGGCTTCGCTGGCTTAATATTAACTGCTACAGCCTTGACGCATGGCAGCCGCGTCCATTTTACCTCTGGACCAAAGATTGACTCTTCACCAGTATTCAATAAACCCCATAGCGGCGTCCAAAATGATGATACCATTTATGAAAAACCTACAACGCCATCGCCTAGCGACCTGGACACTACAAAAGACGAGGTTGTGTCGCATGGCGTAAAAACGAAAAACGTTTTGATATCTACCGGAGTAATTGTAGCTGCGGTCTTTTTATTCGTGTTGCTTTTTGAGTGGAGTCGGCGTCGGAATAAACGCCAAGGCATAATATGGATTGGATATCCGAAAGATATGAGAACGCGACTGCAAGACCCAGATCGGTCGCATTTCTCAGTAGACCCGTTACGCTAGAAGTTCCTTCTTGCTATTTAAACAGGATGACATTGTACCGACGTGGCAATCCTTATTCCTCTGGGGTGCGTGGTACGGTATTATGTCAAAGGAAGTCAAAGAGCCAGCGTCTCCAGTGGGCGGTCATTTTGGAGAGGCTGGTCTCAAGTCCTGACCAGGTCAGAGGGGCCATTGTACAAATACAATTTTTGTTGGGTGGGATTAGGGAGCTTATCTTACAATCATCGTTGTTCAAAGTCTTAGAATTACTGTAGCAGTGAATATGTGACTTCAGTATTCTTCATTATCTTGTACCAGAATTGAGTTCTTAAATGAAGGAAACTTAACCACATCACCTGAAATTCCTAGCATTCAGATCCTTCTCAAGCAATCTCATGCGAAATTAGCAGGTACCAATAGAAAAGGAGACCGAATTTGAAGTCCTAAACGGATAATTTGCCTTTTTTTTCGGGATTTAATATGGATGCCATCATTATCTTTAAAGGATACTGATGAGATCTAAACGTCGTCATTCGCAGAGTGATCTGAAAATGGTACAAGTGTTTTTAGATACCCTGTGATCCCAGTGGTGGTAGCTGGGTGAAGTGGTACTGTCGATTTTCCAGCCGTTCAAAGTGTAAGCTGTACTTCTCCCAGAACTGAGCATTTTTTACCAGCGAGTTTCCACACTCTGATTTATAGCCTCTGCAGAAGTCATCAAATTCCTTTGTACGATATAGGAGAAGTCGATCTACGCCAGCTTTCCGCACCTCGAACAACCGCTTCCAGAGAATGCGACAGAGTCGCTTGTTTGCAAGACTGAGACCGTAGTCCGCTTCCTTCATGAACGTTTCAGTTGCGACCTTTTCAGCCATCGTGAATTCATCAACGGGTCCCTTAGCGGTTGGCAGCGTTGCCGGATCCAGAAGCACCGCACCCTTCTTAATAATCTCCCAATAAACGGTTTCATTGTACCGAACTTGGATGTGCTTGCTCGCAACCAGAGCAAGCTCTTGCTTAATCGCGTAAATTGCTTCTGCGTACCCCAACTGAGCGAGCTGATCCACACAGCCCCGGACCTTCTCGATATTGGTTGTCGTTTGGCGTCCGTGCCCTCCAAGCGCATCATTGAGTCTTATACAGTTCACCAAGATTGAGTCCATGACCCTGAAAAATATGCTCCCTTGCTTATCGAACCTATTCGCAGGAGGCAAGGCGTCAAGAGAAGGAAAGCCGGGAGCAGCTGCATACACTTCACTATAGTCTTGTGTCTCCGTAGTTGGTGGATAGCCGCCCGATTCATTTTCATCTACCTCCCGAAGAGACGCGACACCATGGGCTTTTGGGAGCGTTTTGTCTCCAGGGAGACCGTCACCCGCCAAGTTCCTTTTGCACATTGTCTTTCTGTTCTGGGTGATCTTGACCAACCCCGTGTATTCTGTGCGACCTCGTTCCTCGGGATATAGTAGCAAACGGTAAGACCCACAGGGTTTGTCTGCAATCGGCTGGGAGAACGAACCAGCATGGAACATATCCCTATAGCCTCCATTCCGGCCTGGAGCCTCATTTTGCGTACAATGGTAGTGTCAATAGTTGCCAGTGTCATTGAGGCATGCACGGTACTCACTATAGTTCGAAATGCCGACGATGAGTTGCCTGGTTCGCCCATCATTAAGATCATCGATTCTACAGAGTGTTAATATCTCGCGGATTTTCTGGGTTGCTATGGCCTGGATATCGTCTTCCATAGCTTATATTGATCGTTTGATCCGACTTCGTTTGAGTATTCCCATGGAGTTAGTTTAAATCTTTCAGGGACCTTCCGTCTTGAACGCGAATAATCTGTTGGCGAATAAGGGGCAATTTTACCGCTAAGATTCAACATCTTACCGCTTGCCGCCTAGATCAACTCTGACGGCATTTCATGGCTTCAAGATAAGCTGATTTCAAAGAAGCCACGTAGTCATATTGCATGTTAAATAGTTTTGTTTCGATCATCTAAATCAAGATGATCAGACCTTCATTGAGCTTTGATTCTGCATACAAATTACTAGGCAATACGAAACTTTCATGACCCAATATAATCCTATTAGTGTCTGTACTTCGTCACTCAAAGCCAGGCTAGTCTGCAATAGGTAAGGTGCTATCCAACATATCCACCAGCCTTTACTAAAGCGACAGTTCCGTCCTGCTCAACCACATAGCCGTGGCCTCCCGTCTAAAGCCTTCGGACCACCCACCTACGGCAAAAAAAAAAAACGTAAACCTGCATCTACGAGATCCGAAAAGGCTTCATCTCAAGCGTATAATTCAGGCGATTCAGCGGATCAAGAAAATCTGCCTTGTTTTGTTTATTTACGCGGTGATTAGTGGTGATAATAAAATTGCTTCATTTCTTCAATTTTGTTGATAAATTCAATTTCGCTGTGGACCACCCACCGCCTTTTCGCCGGTGGGTGGTCCGAAGGCTTTAGACGGGAGGCCACGGCTACAGGCGATTAGCGTTTTCTTAAACACTAAACACACCGTTTCGTATCGCTTATAGCGATCGCACTTAAAGCCTCCGGTGAAGGGATCGACACTTGGCATCAAGGATTGGGTCTTTATTCATGGCCAGGTAATTATATACGTCTGTCCAACTGACATTGTTCGCACGAATGACGGCCTGTTTTAGCCATCTGGCTCCTAAATCAATAATCATTTTTTCTTGAAAAGAAAGTAGTAAAAGGTAATAAAAGGGGAAAGGAAAGTTGGGGTAGCGTGTTAACCAGCAATGTCGAACTGAACTCAGGTTACTAACGTCGACTAGAAATTAATGGTTAAACACATAACCCGGATGAAATGACCAGAACGTGCAAATCGAGATGTTGTTAAACGCTAGACGGAATAGTTGAACACAACCGTACACCGTTTCCCCGGGCGCTACAGTACGTGGTTTGCAACTCTTCAACAATTTCTCAGCACCGCGCATCATCTAATCCATATTAGGCTAAAGGCCTATGATAGAGGTAATTAAAAGCCTGCGTATGAGTTTAACGCGAACAGCTTCGTTCATCTAGCCATAATCATTCAAGATTGAAGCTATTCAGTAGTGGAATTTGTCTAGCTACGATATAATTTATCTATTACTGATGGTATCACCAGCTAGGTCCTGTATACACAGTTAGGTAAACAGTATGCATGCTCGTAGGCAAAGGTCAATTTCGATTCATGTTAGATAGATAGATGTTCTTCCTCAGTCTGGTTGGAAGTTATCCCTGGATCCTACATACTGGCCCTTGGCGGTTACAACACCGGAGCTGCAGCTCCGTGCAAGAATGCGTACACCAAGCAAGGAATGTTATCCCTCGCTTAACGGAAGGATATATCCCGACAATTACTATTATTCCTACTGAAATAAACGAATAACTAATTGCTGGTTGTCAGGCTGATTCAGCCTCCGCCTGTACATTATCCGCCTTGCTCTCTGTAGCGAAACATACGGTTGGTCAGAGGAAGCTGGTACAGAATAGAGAGAACTAAGTGAACATTGACTGAGTGAGCGAGCTCGTGGACTTAGTTAGAGAACAGAAAGATGATAGATACACGTGTACAACTCATATAGCCCCTCACTAGTGGAATATCACTTATTCCAATGCCGAGCGCTTAACTATATTCGTAACACTCTCAAAATCCATGGCCCTGATAAATCCTTGAGTTGCCATCATCTTGCAGATTTCGTAACATCTGTCATCTGGTTCCTGAACTGAAAAAGTCTCTTTTGTATCTTCTTTCATCCAGGAGGTATGACGGGGTGCACCAGTAACAAAAGCAGCGATAGCTAGTCTCTGCATAATGCCGACTTTTTTACATGCTTTTATCTTCTGCATGAGCTCCTTGGCCAGCTAGTAGGTAATGCACGAGTCAGAAAGATTTTGCATTAAAAGGGTGTTACTTACTTCAACAGCTTGTTTTGAAGTATCCTCGTCCTGGGTACCAGGTCGTGAGTGACCATTAAGTATCTGGCTCAAGAGTAATTAGTATATTTCTGATCCAGTCTGGATGAATGCCGCCCTTACTGGGATGCAGATATCGACACTTCTTTTCATGATTAACAATTCAAGGAGGAATTGGAGGGTTACTGTATCACTGTATAGTTTGCAGGGCTGTCTTGATACTATAGCAATGATTTATGACTGGTAGATTCATGTGCTACGGTCAGGATATCTAAATATAATCTCTCAAGAAGCGGGTCTGTCATCCCCAAATATGTTCGCAGCTGTCTTTGGTCACAAAAACATACCACCGAAGTGTTCATTGTGCTTATGGTTCGTTTGCGACCAGTTGGTGTTGGCACTGGGATGTGGGGCCTTTGACCTTCCGATAGAACACTTTTCCCCGCTGCGACACATTTCGATGCCGCAGGTCTAGATACCACCGAAGTGTTCATTGTGTTTATGGTTCGTTTGCGACCAGTTGGTGTTGGCACTGGGATGTGGGGCCTCTGACCTTCCGATAGAACACTTTTCCCCGCTGAGACACATTTCGATGCCGCAGGCCTAGGCTAGTATGGACCGCCGCAGGCCAATGCAATCCCATACTTTAGAGTACTTGTCTATTGGGACATAAATGACCTGCTAGAACCAGATCAGCAAGTCTCTAATCACACCTGAAGTTTTCCGTTAACTGTTTTGATACTCATATGATGGCTGCCGGGATTGACTTTCGTTTAACGGTAAGAACATAAAGCTGCGTGCTGCAATGATCAAGTACAGGCTAATTATTTGTGTCAGATTATGGGATCTGATAAGAAGGCAGGCCCGGTATCATTCCGCTTTGATGATGAACTAGAGCCACTGAATGAGAAAGACTATGATGTAAGCAATCTGGTCCCATAGCAGCACGCGCCTATAACTGATAAATTCTATAGTGTGCTGTTGACTTATTTCGAACTTTAATAGCTATTAAACGCCTTGATGGGGGACAGAAACTTGCCATAGGTTTCTATCTAGAGGCGCATGCACAGCCAACTTCATGGCTGCTTTGTGTGAATGGTATTGTGGCAGAGATACCAGCAGGCAAGTTGGTCAGTTTCGGAGAAGCAATTACAAGGGAGCTGTCTAGGGTGAATTATGACAAATCAAAGGTGGAAGATAAAACAAACGAAACGGCAAGGACCTATGAAGAAGCGTCTTTGGAGAAGGGAAAGGAGTAATAGTCAAGCCACATTATGTACAACAGTACAGTACTGTAATAATCCTACCCGAGTTTAAGAAATCCCTTCTCATTGCCAAGTATCTTTCTAAGTCTAGTACAATTTTTTCCAGTTCGTCATTTAGTGTACTGTACCCAAACTGATACATATACGAATATCTATTGCAGAGATACGTCAAAAGCCAAGGCGGGTAGGCTTTTAGCAGATAACACAAACTCTCACTGGTTGGATTGTACCGTCCGCACACCAACTTTACGAAGATTGTTATAGACTCCAGCATTAATTATTTACCCAAACAAGCCTGGTCTTATCAATGAAAGTGACTCCCCATTTTTGGGTTTATATTAGCCAGGGCGAGGCTCTCTAATCCAAAGCTTTCACAATCATCTTTCACGTTCCTTTGCTTGACTCTTTCCTAGGAGCGCAAGTCTCCGACGCAGATACAAATTCAAAGCCGGCAGTTACGTCTTTAGTCGGTGACAATTCAGTAGGCTGACCGCTTTCCTCCTCATACAAATATTGTGTGGGTGTGGAAGGATTCGCTGAAATCACCGAGTCGTCAATATCATATTTCAATCCATCTCCTTCACCAATCAAGGGACCACGATCTGTTGATGGTCTATTCTGGGACATATTTGTTTGCGACAAATCTTGGTCATTAGAATCTTTCGGGATCATCAGTGATGTCATTTTCCTCGTTCGGATTATTCATACTAACGCTACGATTGCCCTCAAACTGCCGACAAGTCACTAGACCGTTCGCCAGAACTTGCAGCTTCTTGTTCAGTTGCTCCCGGAGTGCACGATTCTCCTCAGACTCGCTCGCGATTCGGGTCACTAGCTCGGAGGGCATTTCAAATACTTTGACGGGAAATAATATCAAGGGGAACTATATATGTGGGATTCGGCAGGGGCACACACTGTGTGGCCACGAGAGCAGTTCTTTCGCGCGTGTTCGGATGCCAGCTTCCAGTGCTGCGTGCGTCTTCAGTCTAGGAATCTACAGTGATGATGATGATGACGATGATGATTCATACGCTGACGATATTTCAGGGGGTGTTGGTCGGTAGAGTCGCCATGCGCTATAGTTAACATGGGTGTGGTATGCTGTCTTTGGTGATTCCTAGATCAGAAGCAGATCTAGGTTCTGGCTCTGGTGATCGTTAATCAGGGCCTCCATCCCTGGCCTGGATTTCATGGTGTTCAACTGTAAGATACGGAGGTTTGCTGTCATTGGGATGGACTGGGGTTAGGGGGAGCCTGGCATGCCCGGTCGCCTGTCGGGTGTTCTCCATTGCAGTCTGAACATCTCAGTCTTATTCCTGGGAAGCAGTAACGCTGGTCGTGGTAACCCGCGCAATGTCCGCATTTCACTCGTGCCTTGCACGACCAGGCTAGGTGGCCGAATTGTTGGCAGCGGCGGCACCTCTTCTTCTCTACCCGGTAGGGTTCCACGCTCCCGATGAACCTTTGTCCCACTAACAGTCCATTATTGATAATCCATTCTGCTGCCTCCGGTGAGTCCAGCCAGACCCCCATCGAGGCAGATTTCCCCAGAGGTGTGTCTCTCTTCTTCAACCATGCAATATCCTCGACCCGGAATTTCTTGTCATGGAGGTCATTCTCAGACATAATCTTCTCTATTCCCTGTTTCTTGTTTCCTTCTAGTTCAAAGTCCTCGGTCGGGACTCGGTGAACCACGATCCCAAACCGGGGTTTCACTACTTTGGTGTTGTTTCCCAGCTCCTCCAGCCACTCAGTGCTGTTCCGGGCGGTCTCAGCAGACTGGGTGTCCCGGAATCGGATAACATAGCCTGTTTTGGTGGTTCCAATACCCGCCACTTGTACTTATTTAGTGTTCTCTGCGTTCAGCAGGGCCGTCCTGATGTGTGTATTTGCTGCTTCGGTGGGCAGGGCTCTCGAGAATCGGTCGTTATCGACATCTTGATCAAGGGTCGGTGCGGTGCTAATTCGCACACAATTGGGCTCTCTTCTAGGGCGTGGGATAGTTCTGTCGGGGTCTGGTAGGGGGTTGCCAGCGGCCACATCCGCCCAGGATCTGTTCAGGGGGGTGTTCAACGGTTGTGCATCCAGTTTGGCCTGGAGGGCTTGAATCTCTTTCCGTAGTTCCTCATTGTGGGCACGCAGAAGCTGTTGTTCTGCTTTCAGTTCTTGGACCTCTGCTCTCACTGTTTCGATTGTCTCGGTCTGGCGCTTGAGTGTCTCGTTGAAGCTGGTGAAATATTGGCGGACGCCTGGTTCGTCACCCGCCCGTTGTTTTCGCCGTTTGCAAATTCGGGGTTCGCGATCGGCTCATTTTCCCCTGCGTCAAGTCCTCGTCTGCGGCGTTTCCTTGCCGCTGGGATCCTTGGGCGAAAGGCATAGTCGCTGAAAATTGGTGATGTTTCTTGCGTGTTTGTGGGAAGGGGTTCGGTAACCCCTTCGGGCGGGATCGCCATCGGGCCGAGATTAGTTCCCGCTCGGCACACAATGACAGCCACAACACCTCAATTACTCGCGATGGTTTGATATCAATTTTCAGCAAAACAACTCTTTCTACCAAGTACCGAGTGACGTACAGCTGCAGTTGTTTGAGTGGCTTGTTACCCTCGGGAATCTACAGTGATTCTCGAAATCGGTCTGACCTTCAAACACTTGTCAGTTGTTTGTTGGCCCGACCTCCAACGCCTAGATTACGAAGGACGGTATGGGTGCCGTCAAGGCCAAAAACGGCATCAGGAGCGGCCGTTCCTGGCCTCGTCTGCCCCGGAAACTTCGCCAAGACGGGTACAGTTTTGATTGTTGGGGCGTGTTTGCCTAGGGTAACCAGCTGTTTTATTCCATTGGCGCACTCCTCGAAATACCAGATATCCTGGAAGAAAGTGTATAGCGTGGGTATGATACACTTGTTCTTCTTCATTCTTTTCCAAATAGACCTACGTTCGGAGTCGCTGAAGTTCGGAAACACCTTGCCGCTAAGCACCAACAAACTCGAGATTATTAAAGAGCGTATAAAAGAGGAAGACTGGGGAAAGCTCAAGGAGCGATACAGAATTGTCCAACAAGAATGGCTTGTGATTTCCCAATAGCAGGAAGGAATTTGAGATCCAATTCTATTTTTCCATTTCTATCTTCAAATCTTGGCAAAGGGGTTGGAAGCTTTTGATATCTGTTGAACTTCATGTACATAATATGGGAGCCTCGAGCCAAGATCCTAGCTAAGTATTAATCCTGCTGCTGTCTATGTGCCCACTACGTGGTAATAGTAGCTAAGCAATGAAATCGTAGGATATAAATAGGCTGACTGTTTCGTCTAAGAATATGCGCATCACAATGATCATAAACACTCTTCTCTTTACAAGTATATTGCTTATACTGGTATTGTTAGTACTATTCCTTATTTTCTCCCTCCTACGTCCGTTTTTTAAGGAAAGGTACTTCCCAGACCTCGAATCAGCCACTTTTTCTCCCCATTCGCATACCGATTAAAGTTTGCTCCAAACTTCTTAGACCACTATCGTCGGAAGAGCGTGTCATTCGCCAACCAGTGGGTAAGGAAATCCCCTTCACCTATAAGACATAATTTAAAAGCTTATGGCATGGAGACTACAGGCATTGTAAGATGTCACAGTCTACAACGGATCAGAGGGCTCGAGATGGCTCGAATAATAGCTGGGTGGAACGAAGTCCTCGTATGTATCTGAGAGGATTTTGCTGTGCGTGCAGAAGAGGAACTGAAGTGATCCATGGGAGCGTCTGTTGTAGTGAATGTAGTCATGAGAGATGTCCAGAGTGCTTGGAAATGACAAGGGAGAGGAGGTTTCGAAAAGAGATGGGGATTGCTAGAGCTTACTGCGGTAGGAAACGTACGTGATGAGACACAATGCTACCCTGTACTAATGGTTAGTAAAAGTCCTCTCTTGTAGCACTAGCCTATTGCTGGTCTAGAACACTCTGTATCTCTCTAGTTTGATTGGAATGAGCTAGGTGCATCACCTCCGCCGCCGCCCAAATGAAATCGGATGACTGTGATGTGAGGTGACTGGATAAAGATAAAGAAGGTAAATTTTTTTGTTTGTGCCTGTAATCATAAGTCTCAAATTGAATTATACTAAGATCAAAGAGATTCGGTTTGATTGAGCTCCTTCTGAGATCTAGGAAGTTATAAATCCAGTATGTGGCCCGATCATCCAATGTGTATTTCCGCGCCCATTAACGATTTTATTCTATCATTTTGTTTTTACGGTACTTCTCTGTTTTCAACTTTCGATTACTTCGTCCTATTTGCTTTACGGCCTCCTCCCTCAAAGTTCAAAGTAAATATACTTTTCCTTGTTTCAAATCACCGAATAACGTAAGAAAGCTTGAATAATACTCGCTACTTTGACTGATATGCTCTCTTTTCAGGATGTAATACTATGGTTGTGTTAAATACAGATGCGGCTATCAGGAATCAGAGCCTCGTGTAGTTCGGTGCGTCCTGGCTCTCAGTGAAAAATGTCTGGGAACAACTCGACAGGATATAATACATTTTAGCATTACTTGCGGGAAAGGATACTGCTCTGCAAGCTTACAGAATGGACAATGGCAGGAGGATTCATGTGCAAATCCACCTGAGACTACTGCGCTACCGGCGGAGTAGAGAACTTACGGCTAAGTTATTGTCGAGTCAGCCTGGTTTAGTCATTGAGACAAAAGATCTTAGCCATGGCCCGAGAAAGCTACCAATCATACGCACCAGGGGTGGAAGTGGAAATGGCAAGGCCTTTGATCGGTTAGGTTACTAGGCGTTTACAAAGGGGGCTATTACGCGGTGGGCCTGGACTTCTACAGGGTTGCGCGTCGTTAAAATGATACTGAGTCACTGCAAATCCCCCAAAATCTTCCCTTTCTTGTAGTAGAAATACGAGCCCAATCTCAGCCCGCCAAATAAAATCGACAAGTTCTCTAGGAAGCATTAAAAAGATTCCCCCTAATGCATCTCTTATCGCTCTATTCATTTTCAATTCGCTGTCTCTTGTTCGCATCCTAATCAGAATGGGCAAGTCTAGTCAGTCCCACACCTGCAGCCATTCTCAAAAGCATGCAGATGGTATGCCTATCTCGCCCCTAATTCATTTCACTATGTCGGGTCTGACAAAGGGAAACCCAGATAATATGCTCGAAGAAGTATCGAAAGTACATGCAAAACGCTGTACAAGAGTTGAAAAATGGAACCGCTGGACAGAGGTAGGATAATTATCAATCCCCTCCGTTAGTTAACTAAAATAATTTGCTGACTCTTCAGAAGGGGGAAGCAAGACCGAGACACTGGATGGCTGATAATACCAGCCGAACGAAACGAGCCAACCGACTACCCTCACTGAAGACGATCCTCTATTCTCAGCCAGAATGCAATGCTCCTGGATCAGATCTTCATCGAGTTCAAGCACTCGCTGACAGGTCACCTTTTGTGCTCCCGACCTTCGATTCAGCTCACGTGGTACCACCATTAAGATACATGGTGAGCGACAAGTGGTACAACGCACAACAAACAAACTTTCCAGTATGCTAGGCAGACGTTATCAGGTCAAAATATTTGAACAACCAGCATTTTCCGATGGCAATGACTCTCTCGAATCATACTTCGATGCGGTCAGAGAATGGCAAATTATCTCCAATGATTTAGTCCGTTTCCTTGAGACCGAAAGCTCCGAGATTGCACGTAGCCTCCCGTATCCATTCCCCGTTGTACCTGTGGCCATGGTCTGCCAATACCAGATTTCCGCCAACGATACATCTCTAGAGCGGCTGGGTGTCAACAAGACACTCCATCCCAATTCAAAGAGCCCCGGAGCTCCTATGCTGGATCCGATATCATGATATACCTTTGTGACTGTAGAACGCTTGAAAACGAGACTGAAATGGCTGTCTACACTCAAGGGCTACAAAAGGTGATTATATGCCCAACTACACCTAATGGAAATTTGAGATGGCCGAGTAATGTCTTTCAATTGGGGTTCAATTTGGGCTTACTTCTTAAGGAGAGGTATGGGGTGCTTTAAGTTTCATAATATGAGCCAAAAAAAAAAAAAAAAAAAAAAAAAAAAAAATTTATTTTTTTATTTTTTTTTATACTAATAAGCACAATTATTGGTTTTTATTATAGACCTTTAAAGAAGGAACAGTAAAAAAAAAAGCAACCCCAAATTTAA